GCAAGCAATATAAAGGGGGGGGGGGTTAAAAAAAAGGGCGCCCCCCCAGTGGTTTTATTGTAATTAAGCAGCGGCACTAACAATCCTTTCACTGGAATTAGGAGAGGACACGAATTGTCCTTCCTCTACCTTTTTAAGTTTCAAGTCAATTATATAAACCTGCTTTCGTCTACTACAGCAAGAAAGTCTGTCCACCTTTGAATAAAGGGGAAAAAACTTATCATTTACCTGTTGAACTGCCGCCTGACACCTGGATAATAAAGGCACACACAGAGAGATTGCTGCTTCTTCACACGCTGGTTTTCAAAGCCAGGCTTTGCTTAGGTCAGGGGGTCAGCAAGCTGCGGCTCCGGAGCCGCATGTGGCTCTTTCTTTCCTCTGCTGCAGCTCCCTGTCGCCAGTCGGCTCCACAATCGATAGGGCTTTCGGTTAGGACAGGTAGAGGAAAAAGGACGCTGTGGTAGGAGGAGACTCTATGGTGAGGGAACTGGACTTTCAGCTTAGCTCAGGAGTCAGCAAGCTGTGGCTCCGGAGCCGCATGTGGCTCTTTCATCCCTCTGCTGCAGCTCCCTGTCACCAGTCGGCTCCACAATCGATAGGGCTTTCGATTAGGACAGATAGAGGAAAAAGGATGCCGCGCTAGGAGGAGACTCTATGGTGTGGGGGGGGGGGCAGACTTCCAGTCGGCTCCAGAATTGAATGGGGGCCTCCCGTTAGGACCTTTGTGGCTCTTTTTGAGTGCTTAAGATGGCCGACCCCTGGCTTAGCTGAACATACACACCAGCGTTTGTGGGCCAGATGCAAAACCATAATGCAACTGAATGGGATGATTCAGCACAATTTATGGATCCGGCTACCTTTTTCTTTGCTCAAAAATTCTAACAAAAGATAAATGCCCACCCCATTTCCCCCACCCCACCACCACCACCTGCAGAAGTACAAGAGAAGGGGTGATTGGAACACAGAACTCAAAACGTAGATAGATAGGAGGCCGCTGGTAGAACATAAAATATAACTTTACTGCTACCTGTGGTTCAATGAATCTGTTTTTAAAGGCCCAGGTTGATATATTGTAAATCCCCCGGTTAAATCAGGACACCCAAAAACACAGGGGGGTGGGGGTGTCCCTTGAATTGCAGAGACACAGCGCTCGGCAATGAACATGACCTCCTGTAGCTGCAAAAGGCAGTCTCAGCCATGAGGAGATGTCTTACTTACTTTCTTCCTGCAGTTTTTTTTAACGTAAAAAAAAATAATTAAAATGACAAAAAAATATATGAAAAAAAGGCAAAGGATCAGACTGCAACTGAAAAAAAAAAAAGATTTTCCCCCTGAGTTCCCTTTACTTTTATCTTTTCTTTTTCAATAAACAGACCCTGTAATAAGGGGAAGGCAGTGGCAACAATCTCCCCTCTCCACTCGCTGACTTAGCGTTGACTCCGTTCTCCGTGGCGGTGTGAAAAAATAAAAATAAGGCTGCGGCCTGAAAGAGAAATCAGAACTGCTTCTGCTTAGGATGGGAAAACAAAGCTGAAAACAGAAACAAATAATATATATATATGTGTGTGTTGTGCGTATAAAAAAAAAAGCAGAATTAAGAGTTGAAAAATGGCGGCAGAGTTAGAATCTGTTCAGTTCTCCAGCGAGGGAGAGGGGAGTGATAGTGTTGGGGGCGGGGCTTCTGAGGAGGGGTGGAGCCTCCTTCCCTCAAGCTCCGCCCCATGGCGCCTGCCTGGTCCAACAGAATTTGGTCTCTTTTTAACCCTTTCTCTTGCGGCTTCCCGAGAAAGTCAAGTGGGATGGAGAAGCCCGTCACTTCCTCGGGGCCTGGGCGGAGGGCTGGCACCGGTTCTCCCAGACTTCGCGGATGGTACGCCGGACTTCGCGGGGCATCTGCAGCGTCTCGGCGTGGCACTGGAGGATGTGTTGCTTGACGGTGGCCAGGCAGACGCGCCGCAACGGGTACTCGCAAACCATGCACACCAGGTGGCCGGTGGCGTCGTCGAAGTCCACCAGGAACCGAGCGCGCCACGAGGGGTTGAAGCCTTTCCCGAGGGCAGTGGAGGCCTCCTTGCCAGCAGGGGCTCCCCGTTTGGCCGCTCCCCGAACTGCCCCACAGTCTTTGGGGCGGCTGTCGGCGGAGCTGCCCAGCGGGCAACGGGGAGAGAGGGTGTCCTGGCTTGGGTGGAGGTGACCGCCAGCGTCCCTGGAGTGGAGCCGCAGCAGGGAGACGGAGCAGTTGCGATCTGGGGAAGAGAGGCAAGGGCGCGCGTCATTGGTCAGGTAGTCCTCGACTTATAACCGTCGGTTTAGTGACTGTTCAAGGTTACAACAGCACTGGAAAAAGGGACTCACAACCATTTTTTGCACTTACGACCACTGCAGCCTCCCCGTGGTCACATGATCAAAATTCGGATGCTTGACAACTGATTCATACTTACGACGGTTGCGGTGTCCCGGAGTCATGCAATCCCCCTTTTTGTGACCTTCTGATGAGCAAAGTCAATGGGGATTCGCTTAACAACCGGGTTACTAACTCATCCATGGCAGTGATTCGCTTAACAACTGTGGCAAGAAAGGTCGTAAAATGGGGGCAGAACTCACTTTGCAAATGTCTCATCCCACAAGGCCCACAAACAACTGAGCCTTTTTGTCTTGAGCAGGGGGGTTGGACTAGAAGACCTCCAAGGTCCCTTCCAACTCTGTTAATTCTGTCTTTGCCCATCAAACCGGTCAAGCCACGTCATAACCAAGTGAAGCATCTTCTGAACACGACTTAAAACTGAATTAAAGTACCTAATATGCACACACACACACTTAAAACTGAATTAAAATACCTGATATACACGCGCGCGCGCACACACACACACATATATAACTGAATTAAAATACATGATATACATGCACAAAGACTTACAAGTGAATTAACGTACTTGATACACACCCCCGCAGAATGACTTGCCAATCGGAAATATCCCTTGCAATCCGCGTGCGAACGGTATGGGGCTCGAACTGCACACATTCTTTTGTTTTATCACCGTTTTAACCTGGCATCATTTAAAATAATACTTTTCTAGTTCCTGCATTGCTGACACGAGGCGAGCTTAAAAAAAGGAATGGCCTGCAATTTGTGAGCTTCCCAGAACTTCACTGCTGATTAATGTACAGATGTGGTAGGATAACCACGTTGCTTCTTAAAGGATCCCAAGACAAACCAGAAAAGCAAGGGGAGAAGCAAGACAGCCTCCTATATTAAGTGGGGGGGGGGGAAGAGAAAGGAAGAACCCCCAACTTGTTAATTGGTTTCAGGGCTAACACATTGATGGATGGACAACAGAAGGGTTTTCTCTCCTTGGAACCAAGAGGAATCTTCTTACTGGACAATATTAGTGACCTCTGGCGGGGAGAATCCGCCGCTGACCCCTTCCCTGCCCAATGAAACGCAGCCTGATGTAAAACGAAGACCAGCTATTTCAAGGAAACAGAAATACCATGCTTACCCACTGTTTTTTTCCTTGCGTTTGCCTTAGCTCCCGTGCCTTGCGATGGTTCTGCAATCGAAACACATCACAGTTGTCATTGTGGGATACGCACAACAATCCAAATACTCAGCTTCCTGTCCTCCCGCCCTCCTCTTCTCCTGGCAAGGAGTTTTTCTGCAGTTTTGGGGAACCAAATATCAAGCCAAACACCCAAAAGAATGCAGCCACTTAACAAGGTCGTAAAATGGGCCAAAACTCACTTAACAAGTGTCTTGCTTAGCGAGATAAATTTCGGGCTCAGTTGTGTTCATAACTCGAGGACTATTTTATTTGGCCAAGTATGATTAAACACACAAGGAATTTGTGTCTGGCTCAGAAGCAGTCTACATGCAAAGCAACATAATTCCAATACTAATACTAATAAATAATAATAATTATCATCGTATATTTTAAGAAGGGACTTGATTGATACCTAGGATGCCGGCAGCAACCCGTATCAACCCATCAGCACCAGTCAATGGTATTTGTGATGCGTTTTTGAATGTTCCGTTGACTTGAGTTGCATGTTTAATGAAGAAAGTATATAATAATAATAATATCATCACAAAATATCGCAACCTGGCCATCGAAACTACCCATTGACATCGGGGCGCTTGGCACCATGTCCAAGAATTTTGCAAAACACATCAAGAAATTGCAGCTTTCTGCAATAACACCAGTGGGACGGCAAAAAACTGTGCTACTTGGCACATCGTACGTCTTAAGAAGGTCCTTGGTTGATACCTAGGATCCTGGCAGCAACCTATATCAACCATCAGCACCAGTCAATGGTATTTGTGATGCATTTTTGAATGTTCAGTTAACTGAGTTGCATGTTTAATGAATAAAAGAAATAATAATAATAACAACCACCGCACAAATGCCATTAAGGCCAAAATCTAAAAATCCTCTGATGATGCCAAATGCAGACTTTGCAAAGAAGCTGATGAAACTGTTGATCGCATAC